ATTGTTTTCCCTCCTCTTTGGCTCTTTGTGAGTGACTTTTGACGACATATTCTCAAAAGAGATTTTTCCCGAAAGTGTTGATTTAGAGTATTTGCTTGAGGTTAGGATTGTTTTCCCTCCCACGTGCAGCTCAAAGACTAGCAGCTTTATGGAATGAACAAAGCGGATTTGAAAGTTTCACTGAAGAAGATGAATTGAAAATGCTTGAAGACTTTGAGTTTGTCAAAAATTTTGCAAGAACAACATTATAGAGGATGAGACTACAACCACTAAAAGAAGTAAGTTTGCCTATTTTGACATTCCACATTATTCTTTTCAGTTGTTGAGTGCCATATCATGCTTATTGCCTCTTCTCATTTACCAATATAGCTTCATACAATTGCTTAGTTGTCGAGTGTCAAAATGATTTCTCTTCAGCCAAACTGATTCTAGATGTAATGAGGCAATTGTATTTGTTTGTTTTTGGTCTCACTTTATTCATTCTTGCAGCAAGCCTTTGTTGATCCAATGATCTTACAAGCAATTGGTGCCATAAAACAACATGAATCGAAACTTGAGATGATGTCTTCTCATGACTATAGGTCAATGATTTTTCCTTTGTTGAAGTCATTCTTGCTGGTATGTTTCTGGATCCTTTGGCTATTGTCTTAGTAATTTAACACATGATGGTTTTAACCTAAATTTCTTTACTAGGCACATCTGGAAGATCTGTTTACCAAGGACGCGACAACGAAGTATGATGCCACAATAAAAGCTATAGTAGAGAAAATTGATGGCATGAAGAATTTCAACAAAGTTTATGATATTGTGAGAGAAAAAATAGATAAAAAGAAGAAGAATAACAACAAAAAGTTTGGAAAGGATAAAAACCCAAGGTCTTTTGGTTGCTTATGGTTTTGTTTGTTTAAACTATGGAAGCTTTTAATTGTTCTACATATAATTTTCTTGTGACATGAGCTAATGTTTAGTAAAATTCTAGGCAACTAATTGTATTGAGACTTTTCAGCTCCATCAGAATGATGCTGAAAAAGTAAGCCTCTTATCTAATCCCATTGCAAATTATAGACCTGTCTCTTCTTGAAGTTTGCTAACATACATACCCTGAAGGTTTCTTTCTGTCTATGGTATCTTATATCAATAATCTATGAGTTTTTAGAGACACTCCAAATTTTGAGATTAGTGTTTCTGTAACTGCTGAAGACATGAGAGAATCAACAGTGATCAAGAAAAAACAACTTGAACAACATTTGGAGAAGCAAAAGAAACTTGAGAATGAGTTTGCAAAGAAAAGATCTCAAGCTGATGTTGAAAAGGTTGTAAGCCCAAACCTTGGCACTTCTGTCTTTCCTCTCATTGACCATACACGTTGACTTGTCATGTTGTTTATGTTCTGAATTTTTATGTTCCAAATGATAATTTAATTATTTTGTTTTTGGGTAAGCCCAATAATTGTATAAAGGAATAAAAAAAAAAATACAACCTAAAAAAGGGATTCTCCTTGAGAGAAACCAAACACCTTGGAGAGGCCCAAGGGAAAGAGGCCTAAAAACAAACAAATGCTAAAAACAGAAACAAAACCCAAAGGCCCAAAATTAGGCCGGCCCAAAAGAACAACCTAAAGTAGCCTTTACAAAAAAGGGGCAGAAAACAAGCCTAAAAAAACCTGCCTAGCCACAACAGCCCACAAAAGAAAAAACTGCACAAAAGCTTCTATACACCAACCCAACCAACAGTGCCAAGCAGTACCCTCATCCCGATCCATTAAGGACAAGGCTAAACAACAGCAGCCTATGAGAACAAGCCACAACCAAGAACCCATAAGAGCATCTTCATGGGATAACACTCCTCGGCCCACCAACGACCAAACCTCACCAATCAACAAAGAAGGCCCAAACCCAGCCAAAGCAAAACTAACCTTTGCTCTACTGGCCAAGGCCCCAAGGCGTCTAGCAAACTAGTAGCAAGCCAGCAGGAAATCAGCATTCCATTTTAAGCAATCTGTTCCCAGATTTTGCTAGAATTGGTTGTGAGTGGATCAAATGAAATTTTTCCTTAAAAATTCAGATTTATGTTTGCATGTTAAATATAGTTTGCCATTTTTGCGTTTTGATGAGTTTTGAGCTAAATTTGAAGCTTGCTGAACTTGCTTTCCTTTCCGTGCTTTTGGATAAATTTTTGGTTGGTTAATTTGAGGTTTAAAATGGAGTGTATTTTGCTTGCTAGCTGCACCTGTATGCATTCGATTGATTGATTAAATTGTGATGTTAGCTGGATACTTCACTTGCATGTAATCGGCTGGGCGATATTTTAAGAAGTGCTTGAATTATTCTTTGCTTTAAAAAGTTGGCTGGGTAAATCCACTTGCATGCTCTCGGCTAGAATGTCTTTTAGATAATTGATTGAATGGTATTTTAAAATGCTGGGAGTTAAGGTAATTTGGCTGGAAATTGTATTGGGTTATTGAGAGGTTTTTTATAGGAAGAGTATGAAATGCCAATCCCTTTTATTTATTCATTTTTCTCATGTCTTTATATATATGTATATATCCAGCCAACAAAGAAAAAATGATAGTTTAATTTCTTGAAAATGGAATGGTCTTCATTTAATTGGTCGCAGGACATTTTATTTTATTCTTTTCCTTTTGTTTTATATAAACATATTGGTGCATATATGATATATGTTTATAGTCGGAATTTATAAGTTTGTCTTCAAAATTGTGAATGAGTTATAGTATAAAAGTGATCGTTACTCATGATTCATGAATGGTGTCGGAATAACGCTTGGTAATGTGATGTTTTAGTAAAATGTAATCTGGGTTACTGTTAGTTTTGAAATATGTTTAGAACTTTGCAGTTACACCCCTAGATGTTATTTTTCTTTTAATATTATATCACACGTGCATGATTATAAGCACATATGTGATATTTTCTTGGCTTGTATGTTACTTGAGATTATGGATGAGATATTGTGGTTCTTAAAACCACCCGACGAAGTAACTAGCCTAAGTGATACAGACTTTGGCTTTGCTCGAGTGATGCAAGATTTCGCCAAGTATGACAGTTTCATGTTTTGGCTCTGTGCATGCATATGACAATTATCAATGCTTTGCCTAGGCATTGAGTAGTTTGCCACGTATGACAGTTTTAAAGGCTCTGCCTGCGCGATGATAGATTTTGCTAGGAATGACAGGTACGTCCCTTGCTCTGCCTGCGTGTGAGACGCCCACCAGGTATGATAGATTTCCCCTAGGGTACTAGTTGTGGTGAGAGTTCTAATACTAGATGTTGAGATTTTATTCAGAATCAGATATAGTTAAAGGAAGTGAATCATAGTATAGTTTATTGAGTGCAGCGCGATTATAAATGAATCATATATTGCATACATGAAGGGGATGGTTGCTTCCATTGCATGTTTATAGAATCATATTATTGATTTCGGAATTTGCATAAGAATTGTTGTATGTAATCATTATTTTTTTTTTTAAAGAACTTTTACAAACCTCCACTTTCCCCCACTAATTGAGTATCAGATCACCCCTTTTTAAATGTCCCCCCCTCTCTCTCTCACTAGGACCTCCCCAAGATCGTGCCAAGCAGTGAGTCTCCACTCAGGGTTGTACCACATGTCGACATCTTATGTGTGTTTTATATTTTATGTCGTATTGTATTTTGGATTTGCACTATAGAAACTTCTGTTTTTTTATCATGTATTTTCTTTTATTTATGTTTGAAATGTGTAATGTAAGTGGAAAACATGATACCACAAAAGTTTCTTTGAATTTTTCACAAAACAAAATATGGTGTATATTTTTGTGATGTTGGAAATTAATGGAAATACTATAATGTTATCCAAAGAAGATAAGTTTTTAAAAAGGTTTCACAGTTTTTCCACACGGCACATCTCAGATATCTGAGTCTTGTGGGAGCACCTGGATCCTACGGGATAAGGAAATTCGGGATGGATCGTGTTAGATTGCTTTTTATTTATAGCATCTTATATTAATAATCTATGAGTTTTCAGGGCCAATCCAAATTGTGAGTGGTGTTTCTGCAAATGCTGAAGACTTAATCGAATCAATTGTAATCGAATGCTTGGTTGAATCAATTGTAATCGAGGACTTGGGAGAATAGATTGTTATCGAGGCAAACCGGCTTGAAGAACGTGTGGAGAATCAGAGGAAAATGGATAATGAGTTCGCAGAGAAAAGATGTCCAGCCGATGTTGAAAGAGCTTTATGCCTAAGCCTTGGTACTATTCTTACTCTAATTGACCATACTCCTCTACTGTACGGACTTTTACCAACTGATGTGATGAATGGCAGCACACCGCGATTTGATGTACACCAATATGTAATTATAACTAAATGATACTAAACCTTTTAGAATCATCTGCACTTCTCATTTACATCTTACTATCTACTGATTCTATTGCACTGCAGTCGCAATGGCGGTTAAGACAGCTTCGCGACAAGTCCATGAGTAGATCAGAACTATGCCAGAGCCAGACATGCTGGAAATCCATGTTTTCTATGCGCTCTTCAGGACTCTTTTGCTGTATCGCCTTTAGAGTTATGCAAGAAGTAGCTTTTGTGCCAGTCCCTTCAAGAAAATTGCTGGTTAACTTTTTCTTCAATGAATGGGTGAGTAGATTGCAGACTTTTTCTACATAATCTTTTTCCTGAAGTGACATTAATTGATAATTTCTGATTTAAAGTTGTCCTTTCTAGTTAAACTTAGAAGATCTTCTTGAAAGCGCGAATGCATATGAATTGAAACAACAACTTCTTGATGAAGTAATGAAGATTGTTGAAGAGCTAGAAGCTCTTAAACAGTTGCATTTTCTTCGAATATTCGTAATACATTATTAAACATAGCAATACAGAGTAACTCTGTTCTTTAGAATGAAAATAGATGTCCAACAATAAGATAAAGCGGTGAAAAATTATAATATTAATAATAGTTACACCAAACAATAAAGCCCAAAAACTTTCATTTGCACAAAAATAAAAATAGTCTTTGACAGCTTTCAGCTAAAAGTATACATATCTAGCATACACTTTGAATTCATCTTCACAAGCCTCTGTTTCTCAAGCCATATGGTTAAAACTTAGAACTTGTCTTAACATATTCCTTCAAAGCTCCAAATCTAGTTTTCCCGCTATAATTTAAACAAATTCAAGAACAGATAACCAATAGTTGCTTTCATTAATTCATTAATAATTATTAGTTAAATTCACAACCTCGAAATTCAAAAAATTCAATAAAACAAAGCGGCCACCTGAAATCATCATCATTAAACTTAGCGTTTCAGCTAATCATGGGAAATGCATTTACGTTACAAGTTCATACCTCTCGATCGGATCTTCAAGGATAACCTTATCCCCAAAATGTATGATCTACAACAATAATACAAACAAAAACAAGAGATCAATACGACTACGTATACACACAAAAACAAGAGAAACCGAAACAGAAAATAACAAACCTCAAATTCACCAAATGCTTGTAATCGTTCGAGAATCTGTCCCATCGGAGCTGAAAACACCTATAAATTCACATCAGATATAACTTGCATCAAATATAAATATATATAAAAACTTTTCTTCGTGTTTGAATTTAATAAACAAAATTTTAAAAAATAAAAAGAGAAAAAGACCTCGCGTCCACATTTCACCTTCTTTTCCATAACACACACACCAATGGTTATTTTCTTATCAACACCTGCGCGTTGAACTCCCATCTTTCTGTCTTGTGTGTGTGTTGTGGGGAAAAGCGACAGGAGCAGAGTGTCGTTGAAAGCGAATATAAAGAGGATAGGCGAGGCGAGGCGAGGCGAGGTGAGGAGAGGAGAGGCCGAGAAAAATGGAAGAACGGAGAAACGGAAATCACGTGCTGGAGTGAGAAGGCAGAAACGGTGAGTTTTGGTGGAGTTGCACTTGACGAGATTCAGATAAAAGCTGAAAGGAAGACGCATGGCAGCGAAATTTAAAAAACAAAGGAAGAGTGAAAAGAAAAATTGTTATTTAAAGGAGTGTTTGGGGATAAAGGTTTTTGATTCGAGAAATGCAAACGCCGCTGCAAATAGACGAGGGCGATGACGTGGAAAGTCCTATAGGTTGGGATTTATTTAGAAAAATATCGATAAGGCCCTTATATTTGTTCATACCAAAGGTACCGATTTTTATAATTATGCCAAAATTAGGGATAGAAGTTAGAAATGATTATAGGGAATGGAATTGTCCTAAACAAGGCAGTAACCCAATGTCATAACTAATGGATTATATATTTTTTGACTTTAGGTTAAAAAAATTATTTGATGTAAATTTGAACTTCTATATGAATTCAAAACTAATACAAGTGAATCTAAATTTATCAACAATGAAGAAACGAGATACAAAAACCTATTTTATTGTTACGGGCTGGCTTGACTTGCAAATGACTACTAAAGGAGAAAAGATCAAACATACCAAACAACAAACCATACCTTTGCAAATGACAAAATTAGAGTTATTAAAAAACTTCTAACTTTTACTTAGGAGTTATTTTCCTTCTTAACAAGAAGCTGGAAACATTATACAATCTCCTCTAATTGCATTTGTCATTGTATTAGTATAAATAATAAAACTCATCACATTTTCAAACTCGTTATATCTTAATTTTGTTTCATTATAATTTGATATACTTCAATCCATAGGTTTGTGATTGCATCATCATCTACTGATGAACTAATTTTTTGTTGGAAATTTTACAAGGATTGTTAAAATTTCAAAATTTTAAGGGTTGTTTGATATTTATAAAACTTTAGGAAATGAAAGACATGAAGACAAATTTAATGTTTCGGTGCACGAAATAGAATAAGGTGTTTGAATTTCGGTGTAGTTGGTGTCGCTTTTAAGAGTTTAGGTTGAAATGTAATCTCGCCATAACAATAGTACCTAATAGAAAGTCACTTAAAATAATGGGACAGGGTGATTTATTTATTTTGTTCCTTAATTATCGTCCAACATCCTGATTTTTCTTCGGAGATGTTTGCAAAGTATATTGACTTATAACTTTGACTAGGTCTCTGTTTCATTTACAATTAAAAAAATATATAAAAATATAATGTAGACAGTTTGTGAACAGTTTAGCTCATCATCTTACTTTATAAATACCTTATAAGTTTAATAGTTAAGTAAGACACAAATATGATAGATAATCAATTTTATAAGACTTAAACACAAGATCTCGGGATAACCATTTTAACTGGATAAAATTTTGTCATTTGACCACAAGACTAGTGGTTAAGATATAATCTATTTCCTCCATAGATATCTTATTTTTAAAAATCATTAAATTTTTAGACTCTTATATATATATATATATATATATAGTGTTTTTATACTTTGGTGCAAATTGATGTCACGAATATGCATAGTAAATTTTCATGCGAATTTCGAGTCAAATCTATTTTGGTCTTTTAAGGTATGACATAATTAACAAAAAGTCCAATAAAATACCTTTAATTTAATTTTCCATTCTCTTATAATTAATGAAATTATTCTAAATTTTGATCAGAGTTGTCAGGTAGCATCCATTTTTTTTTTTTTTACATAATAAAATATTAGGGTATTTTAGACTTTTAAAAAAGTCCTTTTATTGGGGGGCGGGGTTGGTAACTGGGTGTAGATAAGTTACAAATATTGTATTCGATAATCACTTTATATAACTTAAACATAAGATCTGCGAATAACTCAAAGTCTTGTGATCTGATCACAAGCAAAGTGGTTAGAAAACTGCTATTTTGCAAGAACCTAAATGGGGCTATCAATTCTACTTTATCTTATCTCTTAGGTCATTCCGTAGAATAACAATGATGATGATGACTGAAATGGAGTTTAAAAATCAAAAGATGGGTCAATGTTCACTTATGGGATTGATTTGGACTAAAACATAATTGGTCCAGGTTTACTTTAGAGGGATTAGGAAGTAATTAATTAAGATTAAATTAAGATTCAAAGTTAAAGGGCCGGTCAAGGGGACAAGGGGTTGAAAATTGGAAAGTAAAAGAGTGGCTCCGGTGGTGGGGACAATGTTAGCGGCGGCTATAGCCTATAAGCATGTTTCTCTGTCATCTTCTTACACTTTTTAAAAGTTGGTGGCATATATTAGGTACCAATTTGATTAAGTTATCATACACCTTATACTACAGTATCAAGGTAACGTTACCTCATGTCCGTAAGATTTAAGAATGCATTCAAACCCTTATAAGATTTAAACTGGCAATAAAAGGTAATATATATATAATGTTATTATAATATCACATTATAAGATTTGAATCAATAAATTATTAACTTAAAAAGAGAGTTCAAAAATCTTTACGAATCTCAATATTGTATTTTTTTTCTTCTGTTTATTAACCGAGGTATTCGGACCAACTTATGAGTACTGATAAGTTGCATAATTTGAGTGTTTTTAGGGTTGTTTTGATGTTAGTTTAGTTAACTTCTCATTTGTTTCCTTTGTTTTGATGTTTGTTTTTGTTAAGTTTGAGATATGAATGGTTTACTTATTGATTTGGATAACTTTTATGTTTTTTTTAAGTTTTGATTGAGTATATTAGAGTATTGGAATGAAATTGAGACTTAAAGCTTGAAGAAGTTGAGATTACCCTTCAGTCTTGAAGGCCACGACCATGCCTTGGTAGTTCACCATGGCCATGGTGATGGAACAAAGAGAAAACAAAGAGACCAGTAAGCACCATGGCCTAGGCTGTGGTGACTTAAATTTGGCCACGGTCAGGGTTGTGGCGGAAACTATTAGCGTGTTTTTATCAGTTTTTCTTTCCTTTTTCACTTAGGACTCTTTTGGGTATTTAAGTATAATTGAGACCAGTTGTCAAGGGACGAATTTTGCATATTTTTGAGAGGAGAAGGCGCATTCTTGAGGCTTGAAGACTGAAGATCAGATTTAAGAGTTTGATTTTTATTTCTTTTCAGATCTGAATATGTTTTCCTTCTTCTCTATTTATTTCTTTGTTCTTAGGATGGAGTAAATCTCTTTTGTTAGGGGAGGATGAAACCCTAATTATGTTTTGAACAATTTTATTCTTAATACTAGATTTATGTTTATGAATTTGTGCAAGAGTTTAGGTTTAATGCTTTATGAATGTTGGATTGATTCAATTACCTTGATGATGTTTCGAATAGAGAAGTTAGGGTTTATTGCTTAATTCATATTCATAATTGTTCTATGGGAATAACATTGCACAAAATATTAAAACTAGAAGTAATCGAATAGAGATTCTAAGATTAATTTGTGGTCCATCTAATTCATAACCGAATAGGGCGAATTAGTCGTAAGGGATTGATGAATTTATGCTTCTTAATTTCAGAGTAACCGAATAGGGATCTGTATTAAGTTGAATATTATGACTGAATAAGGATAATTGGCTTTAGAAGAATCCTACCAATCCATAGCACAAACAGGTATTAAGAGTGGTTGTCAAACATAATTAAGGGGAAATCTGTACCCTAACTTCATTAATATTGCAAAGTTCATCACATTATTTATTTGTTTAATTTGGTTATTTTTAATCCATTACTTTTATACTCTAAGATTTCATTTTCTCAAATAACGTGTAGGTTGTTTTAGGTAATTACATATATTCGCTTTGATCTCTGTGGGACGATACTCAAACTCATCACTTTATTACTTGAACACGACTAGTGCACTTGCTAAGGTTGATTTAGTCGCATCAAGTACCTCAACTGCTCCTTAAGAGGAGTTATCCCACAACAACCCACCGTTCTAGTCTATCCAAGTAAATCATAGAACTACCTTTGCCCCATAAGAGTATACATTGAAGCTATGCACAGTCTAATTGGTTCACCCTCATGACTAAACTACACATGGATGGGTAATATTGTAGTATTCTATAAATTATTATTCGAAGAATAATGTTATACATCGTAAAGCTTAGAACGGCAGATCATTCGAAAGGAATGTATTCTTTTGAATGAGAGAAACAATCTGAATGTCTTTTTCACCCATCAGCATTCATAATTTTTGTGATTGTATTATTCCTTTATTGCTTAGATCAGAAATGGTAATCCAGCTAAGTTTCTTGTAGTTTAGTGTCTTATCTTTTTTGGTTTGGGATAAGGGATTAATGGCCACTGAGGTTTGGGCATCAGTATCATGTCTGCCTCATTTTCATTTCTTTACCAAAAGAATAGTTCCACTTTAAGGTGACAAAAGGCTAACAGACAAATTGTGATGCTGGTTGATTCATCAATAATTAACAAAAATCTTGCAAGATAGGGTAACGTTACCTCCTCCGACAGCCCTTAAATCAAAGTAGGATCGACTGATTTTCATCTACGGACTATCTCGAGAGGATAACGTTACTCTCAGTAAGATAGAAAATAGAAGTAGCCCGACACAAGAGAAACCAATTTAGCATTTTTTTTTTTTAATTTATAAATTTATTATTCTATAAGAGGTTTTGAGATTGAATATTACTCTCATTAAATCTATTGTCTCTCCTTTAGAGTAGCGTTACTTGCTAGTTTACCTATACTTGTTCCCGCGATGTATCCTCCAGACCAAGCATTCTGTACAAACAAAAACTGAGATTAGAGAGCAATGGCTACAATGTGTTTGTATCTTAACACAAAATTTCCTCACCTGGAAATTGAAACCGCCAGTTACACCATCGACATTTAGTACCTGCATGAAAAATTCAAATTCATTTAGACACATACAAACACAATCACTTATTTATCTAAGCTCTAGGGTCATGAATTCAATTCTACAAGGTGGAATCATCATGTTATTATGTTAATAAACGAGAAGTTAACAAATGGTAATTGGTATGGAACTATACCGCTCCGGCGAAGAATAAATGTGAACGTATTTTGCTTTCCATTGTGTTCAAAGAAACCTTCATAAAGGCAAGAAATTGGAGTTAAATTTCCAAATCATACACGGGGGAGAGAGAGAGAGACAGAAAAAAATAAAATAAATGAGAGTGCCTCAGACAGTGGAACACTGCCAGCAGTGACAAATTCATCCTTGAATTGGCCCTTTATCAGAAATAAATTTATATCATCACAGATATGGACACAAAACATTGAAAAAAATAAAAAAAAATTCAGTGAGTAACGGCTCCTACCTTCCCAGTCACTTCAAATGTACAATGCTTTAGAAGATGAGCAATGGAAATTAGAAGTTGTTTGAAATGGAAGCCCACAAGGTATCTCCACATAAACCCTGCATATAAACAAGAAAAAACAACATTCATAAGGAAAATTTTGCAAGCAGATGCCAAATATATTTCCAGAATCTTTTCACAAGGCTGAATTCTGAAGGACATGAATTGATCACATTTTGCTTCTGTAGAGATTGATTAAAAGCAAGAAATTATCAATTCAAAAACAACTAAGCAGAATGCTATTATGTAGTAGTAGAATCCATCAAGTCTGAAGCCTATTGACGTCACCGCATTACTGTCCTAGAGAGATCGATTCAAACACCAAAACTATCCTTGTTTGATTATAAGCTTACTTAAATTACCAAATTTACTTGTTTATATAAAAATCCATATATAAAACGAGATTTTTCTTGAACTATCATAAATCTCAACCGCAAGGCAACAACAATAATACATCATTGCCTAATTAAGAAAATAATGGTACTTCTATCTATGTCTGGAATAAGAATTCAACGAGGACGAAGAATTACCACAAACTGTTTCTTGTGTTTACAAAGAATTGACTTCATATCTTCTATATGTAAATCAGGTACAAAATCCAATATAAGTATCCCTGCATCCAAATGCCAGCAAGTTCAGAAGCTAACGAATATAAATATTATAGTCACAAAAAAAAAAGTTATCTTTACCTTTGTAACCTAAACTGAACAGATCACAAGCACCCCAAGCAGATAGCCAAAGAATTACTGGCCCACTAAGTCCCCAATGTGTGACTAACATGGGGCCAATCTAAATTTGCAGGATTTTAGTTTAAGTCCAATACACTATTAAGAATGTGTATAAAAGCAATGAGAAAAACTTGCCTGTGTAAGATGTGGACTATTCTTTTGCACATTTTCTAATTTAAGTTTTGCAATGACCTTTCGGAACGTGACCTAAGTCACCTAACCATAAAAAAGAAGAGTGATGGAACAAGATGGAGAGAACAATAACCATTAAGTATTATTCATTTCAACTTTTATCATTACATTACCCCCGCTAACAAAATTAAGAGTAGGTAAGTCGAGGATTCAACTTGTTAGAAGGTACAATACATTACCCCTGACAACTCTGTTAATTGTGAATCTACAGTCTTGAAAGTGAATAAGCTAGGTACTGGATCTACAATTGAATGACGTAGCTGAGCTGCAAGACTGTAACCCTGTAATAAGAACAATGGAGATTTATCAAGAAATTCATACGCCTATACTAGAATTGGAAAAGCAACATTTGTTGAATGAACCTGCTTACTATTTCCACTAGCAATTAATAGATAATCAGCTTCAAAAGATTCAACCAAGTTGATTGTACGTTTCTCGACCTTGAGAAGGAGCTTTCCACCAGCATTAGCAGATGCTGTTGTTACAACTTTTCCAGTCTGCAGAGAAACTGATGGAGGAACCGATAGAGAATAATGGCCAGCCAAACATACCTTCCTGACACTTTGCTTCAGACAAGAGACAATCAATTACTGAAGAAGAACTGTTACTGACAGGAAACACCCTTCCATCATCCTCAGTATATGACAAGATAAGAACAAAAGGAAAAATTAAAGAAAGAAATCGAAGACATGCAGTTTGAAAACTGACCTTCAGTTCCACCCCATGATCAGAAAACCGGACATGCTATCCAACGGCCCATGCACATTAAAGAAAGATCCTTTAAATTCTTTAAGACCTCTAGGATAGTGCCATGCCAAAATCTGCAAAGGTCTTAATCATTCTGAGGTCTAAACATCATGTGATACAAAAGACAGTTGACCACTGGAATAAATTTCTGTATTTACTAAGTCTAATAAACAATTCTCCCTAACCGGAATTCATTCAGATAATGGCCTAACCATCATTTTCAAATGTAATACAATATCACAATGTAAAGAGTTTTCATTAATCAAGTGTAATGATCAAGTAGATGGAAATGGCATCTATACATCATTCTCAAGTATATCTACTATTTTAAACTCCAACATCCAGACAAAATCATAAAGTCATCCATACCAAACCCAGCCTTACAAAACATGCTTAAATTTAATCACCCATCAAACAACCAGCTAATTCCAACATGATAGTTGAATCAAGTCACAAGATCATAGATTAAAAAATGTCATCTTTCTCAATCTCTGAAACCCACTGTCAATTCTCTCTGCTCCGTTACAATACAAAGTAGAAGCCGGTGGGAGGGGAAAATAATGAAGGAGAGTTCAAAAAAGCACACCGTCAAGGCGTCAATTAATCTCTCCCTACTCTTTTACCCGAAGCTGTATGCGTGGAGAAGGTAAAGAGAAAGAGATGGTTCAAAGAAATTTGAAGGAAAATTATCAAAATCATATTAAAATGGTGAGCATCAAAAAGGAAAGATAAACACCAAGGTCTAGAGTCTAGACACAAGACTTTTGAGTCTTTGTCTTTGATTATAGTAGTGATTTTGAAAAATTTTCTTCAAATTTCTCTGAGCATCCTTCCACTTGCCTTTGTGATGCTCACCATTTTAGTTGTAGTTTAATTTGAGAAACTAATTTTAGAAAGTATCTTTATTTTGTAAAGTATATGGAACATTAGACAAACTTTATTATTATTATTATTATTATTATTATTATTATTTTGGCAACTAGGGGTTTTCGACCAGTTTACGCGCACCTCAACCAATTTTCGGGACCCTTAAGTTAATGATCGAGTAATCCTCTAGTGGCCACCCCTATTAGCAATAAAAGAGAATCAGACTCAAAACTTCTTGAGTAATACATTCCAACTTTATTAATTTTTTTTTTTGTATAATTAAATAAAAAAAACATAAAATTTACTGTAAATTTTATTAAATGTACTTGTGAGATATTTTGCAAAATTTAAAATTTAATTGATATAATTATGTGAAATTTAAAATTTTGAAACATGTATATAGTTTTTTAAGTTTTTCAAAGTCAAAGACGGTTAACTGACCCTTCCTCCCAAGGGAATCAAATTCAAGACCTCTTGAATACTACATCTCAATTTTATTAATTTGTTATTTTGTATAATTAAATAAAAAAACATAAAATTTAGTGTAAATTTTATTAAATGTACTAGTGAAATATTTTGCAAAATTTAAAATTTAATTGATATATTTGATTAATATAATTACGTGAAATTAAAAATCTTCAAAGTCAGGAGGGTCAACTGAAACCCACCCCACAGCCACACCCCACGACCTAGCATCTATGGTCAGTCTCGTTACGGTCATACTATGTAATATGAACAGTGTTTACATGGGAAAGGAGAATATTCCATGGACTCCCAACCTTTTAGTCCATTACAGTCAACCCCTCAAAGGATTTTATTTAACAAAAAGTGAGAGTGTAAACGTCATTATAATTTTTAATTTATAAACATCTTAGCATGTAAACGACCTTTTATTTTATACTTTTGGAAGAGAGAAATTCTGCTATAGAAATTTTAATTTTCAAAATGTCAAGATTTTTTTTACTAAACATATTTAGCCATAAAATCAGATGACGTAATATTATGCATATAAATTCTTATATATAAACTTATAAGAAATTGTCGGAGTGAAAGCTTATACTGACAACAACACCAATAGCATTGATAGACATTTTTACAATTTTTAATATAAAAAAATTTGACTAAATTTTTTGTATTCTAGTGATAAATAATGCTGGCTAGCATAAAATAAACTTCCTATTTCCAGATATGAATCCTAATAAAATAAAAAAAAGCAAATAAAATAAAATCGTAACTTAATAAAATCTGTCCTACGCCTTTTCTAATTAAAAACGACAAATATGTTAATTAGTGTTGCTACTCCGACCTGTCAGATACAATTACAAGGAAGAAACGACATATCACCGGTCCACAAAGTGAAGGTTGTTATTAGGTCATAAGTCACGTACATGCTTCCACAATTATGAACTTCCAAATTAGACATTAATTAGAAGCTTAATTATACACATTATTAATTTATATATTCATAAACCAAATATATTTGTGTTATATTTTCATGCTACGTTCAGGTTTAATGATATTTGATTGTTTTTATTAATTTACTGGTTTCGGTAAAAGATAGAGATCGAAGTTGTTTTGCAAACCTCAAAGTTCCAGTCTAAGGCCAAGAAAATGGCCGCTGGCTTTCCCGCTAATTAAAATATAAAGTTGGTTTGAGTGTGCATTAAATTATTTTTGAGTTAAATTAATGGATAAATTAGAAAAAAAAAACCTTTGATTGGTTTTTTATTATATTTATATAAGACGTGGAATCGATAGAGTTAAAAGCTTAAGCTGAGGAACAACCTCAGAAGATAGTGGTAATATGAATAGGAGATGGGGTGGATTCTGTTGAACTTACAAAGTCGTTGAGGAAGAAGTTTGGGCATGCACAGCTGGTGACTGTTATCATTCTCAGTGAGGCTGAGGCTAGGGAGGTGGTGACGGAAACAATGAAGAAAATGAAGGATTCGGGAATCCTTCAACAGCGGTGGAGCCACAGCCTTATAATAATAATGACAGCCGTTATGGTCTGAGAGTGTAAGTTTTTGTGTTGGCTGTTGGCAATGTTTGTGTTGATCATTTTCTCATCTGTAGCTGCACACCACATTGCTCCTCCTAGCCCTCCTGATCCAGCTTCCTGCAATGGAAAGCACATTTCTCCGATTAAAAGCAAAGAAGATCACTAAACAAGTGAAGAAAGATTAACTTTCACGATATAGAATCTAAATAAAGTTTTTACTATTTTCTCAGATTTTTACAGTTTTTAACTATGTTCTTAATGTTAAAAATATTAAGATACAACCCGAATTTTATAAACGAAACATACAATTTACCGTAGACCAGACAAGGCTGCCATTGTTGCGATCTAAAGCCCAAGCGAAACCACTTTTTTGAATAGCAACTACAAGATCATGCTTGACTCTATCGAGATACATGCCAAGAATCATTGGTGCCTCTCTGAAATCGGTATCAGGGCTAGGTAGAAGCGGACAATTAGGGTCGAAGTGCCTGTTGCTAGCTCTAAACCACACATCATAGCCTCCTAATTGCTTGTACCACACAGTTTTGCCAGTGTCCAAGTCAAGTACCAAGATAGAGTTTGCGTGGTTTTCAGATTCAATACACTTGTCAGAAGTAGTTGGAACCGTTTGATTGTTTCCCGCTTCTTGGCATTGGCGTACTCGAAGTGGAGCTGAATAGAGATTCCCTGTAGCTATATAGACATGGTTTCTAATGGGGTCAATTGATGGGCTGCTTCCCCAAATGGCTGCCACTGCAAATTCCCCCTTCTTGCCAAAATTGTTAGGCAACATGAAGGTTTGCCATAGGATCTTGCCTTTTTTTGCATCTAATTTAACAGCATGCCGCTGAAATATATGAACCCCAAAATGCATATCAAAATAACATAACGGTCAGTGTTGCAGCTTTTAGAAGACGCCATGAAAGTAGGAATCAAATTTATGTTGTGTTAGGGAATAAAAGACTGTCTGAATCTATATTTGGCTCGTAGATAGAGCCAGCCAGCCAGGGAGGACCAAAATTTATATTTTCTTATTCCGTTGCTACATAAACAAAATCTGATATGCACTTAAATCTATGACTCACATAAAAAGCTAACCGGGACGAGGGTCTTTAAAACCATCCATGAAAATTGCAAGGGCACCAGATGTGCGGTGTACTCAGGGCGGTCGGATAAAGAGTAAGGCTCACCAGAACTGCATGCCTTGCCTCTGCTCCTCGCCTATTAACTTTAATGACTCCAATCAAATTAAACCCTTAACCTCATAGACATGTTCCTGGGCTTCTGTTGAGAATATCAATGTAGTTCTTGATGCAACTGCAATTATGGTTAAGGCGTGAGGATGATTAATGGTAAATTAATTAATTATGTGCATAAATTTTAATTTCGTTAATTTCAAATTAGGATGTGAATTTTAGATTACACATTATTCCGGTGCAATTTCAACACCAACATTGGCCCAGTATTCAATCAACCAGGCCCTTTGATTAAACTTTAACACCATTGTTGGCCCAAATTTTTATATCTACGTTTGAGGTACTTTAGCCAATCATTTCATATGCTCCTAGTGGTATATTTGTTAAGATTTGTTGAGATTTGATTGATGTTAGTTTTGGAGATAATCTCTACTGCATATATTTAGGAATATACATGCGGGGAGTGTTAAGATTTGTTGAGATTTGATTAACGTTAGGTTTGGAGATAATTTCTACTACACATATTTAAGAATGTACATGCTCCAACTTGAAGAGGAGTGTTAAGATTTGATGAGATTTAATTAACATTAGTTTTGGAGATAATCTCTACTGCACATATTTAGGAATTTGTAATCCCTTCTTTCAAGGGAATTAATTGAGATTTTATTTTCTTTCCTTGCTTATCAGATCATGATTTGATCTGTATATGTGTATATATTATAGCCTTTTGGCAAAGAAATGTAATATAGAAAAATACGGTTTTCTCAATTCTCATTTTATCAATATTGGTAAACAAAATAGACTGCCTTGGGATCATAGGCTGAAATTTGAATAAGGTATTTAAGATATACCTAACTATATCCCTTTTATCATGGGATGATAGTTGAATAAAGTCAGGAAACCATAGATTAAAAAATAACATCTTTCTCAATCTTCCCTCGTTCATTGGAGGAAGCCATGGTTCACGTCCCTTTCTACAGAAACTGTAAGATCTCTCTTTCAACTTTCAACTCTCATATTCACTCTCACCATTACATATTTGTTCTTTCATTTTCGATTTTTGGATTGATATTAATTTATTTGTGTAATGGTTGATGGTTAAGACGGGAAGACATTCAAGAAGCCACGTCGTCCGTATGAGAAGGAGCGATTAGATGCAGAGCTGCGGCTGGTGGGGCAGTACGGGCTCCGCTGTAAAAGGGAGTTATTGAGGGTTCAATACACATTGAGCCGCATTCGCAAAGCTGCAAGGCACCTTCTCACTTTGGATGAGAAAAACCCTCGCCGGCTTTTCGAAGGTCAAGCCCTTCTCCGCAGAATGAATCGGTATGGACTCTTGGACGAGAGCCAGAACAAGCTCGATTATGTCTTGGCCCTTACCGTTGAGAACTTCCTCGAGCGTCGCCTTCAAACCATCGTCTACAAGAACAGCATGGCTAAGTCGATTCACCATGCGCGTGTCCTCATCAAGCAGAGGCATATCAGGTCTAAAATCTGTTGAGAACTGTCTTCGAATGAATGAATGAATTTTGTTTCAAAATTTATTTGGTTTTGTATTTGGCAGTGTGGGGAGGCAGGTGGTGAACATTCCATCGTTCATGGTGAGAATGGACTCCCAAAAGCATATTCAATTTTCTCTCACAAGTCCCTTCGGGGGAACTGGCCGCCCTGGAAGAGTGAAGCGAAAGAACCAAAAGACAGCCGCCAAGAAGGGTGCCGGCGGTGATGGCGATGAAGATTGAACCTTGGACTATGCCCAACCTTTTACATTCTTTTTTTCCTTTTTCTTCACTTATTGGTTCTCCAATAATTATTTAGTGGATGTTGGCATATTTTCTTTTTTATTAGTTACTAATTCATTAATTTTACAGCCTTCATTTCTTGTTCTTGTTTAAAAAATTTCATATTTCTGTTAGATGAAAAGTCATTGTGGTCACAAGTCCAGAGTAGAGTTTCTTTACCGAATTTGTGCAACACCATATCGTAAGCATTCCTGGATATGATGAGATACGTGAACATCAGAAGCATCAGTTAAAAAGAATCATGCCGACTAAATATCAGATGTCACTAAACATAATTTACATGAACATCGAAAGAATTCTTGAAACTATAGGTACTAACAATTGAAGAAAATATAAGCCAAACCATCCAAGGAGTTTGGTAATACACAATCAAGCAAAAGAGCAAAACAAAATACTTCCAACAACAAGAAATTGATTTACACATTCAGTGAATTCACTAGTTATCAAGAATAAACCAGTCAAATGAGGGAAAACAAACAAAGAGGAAGAAATAAAACTTCCAAATCGATCCCAAAAACAACAATATGATAAATAATCCATAAACATCCACTAACATTTTAAAGGTAATAAAACGGCACCATAATCAATTGCAAGTCTAATTCTCCGGGTACAATAATGAATAGAGAGAGAGATACAGCAAGGATATAAACTATTGATTAGTAAGGCAAAGTTACTTTTCCCAGAAAAATAAGTATTCTATCCAAACAATTTCAATCATTACCCTTTAAAAGTTCAGTTTATGACTTGTATAAACCAACACATGCAATTCCAATAAGAAAGAGAATTATAACCTGTGATTTTAGGATAACTAATATGGGTAATGTTATACGTTAACTAATGTACTAATTTTTGTTATAATTACATATGGTATCCGTACTATGCGTATGATACCCGTACTATACTTAATAAAATCCGTTACTACCCACACTATTATTGAACTAAGATCCGTTAGTACCCAAAGTATTATTGAGCTAATATAGTGGGAATAAGAAATAGATCAAGGAGAAAACAAGAGATAAAAGGAAAAAAGAAACAGAAATACATCTAGCTGAGTACACACACGGCAATATTCTTGAACAAGTTACCTGTCTCTTATTATCACAGAATTACAAGAGAAGATAATTTTCCAAAACCCAATTTCCACGAGGTAAACAGACGAAACATAATAGTCAATAGAGCTGCTTTCCCAGTATTATATAGACTTAATCCTCTATCTTGCACCTCACTGATCGCCACATGATTGCTTAAACTGAAAGAAACTGACAAAATTTCAGTAATCAGCCTAACTAATCACACTCTTACCATTGCAATTCCCAAAAAACATAATCACACAAAAGAAAGAACCCCTCAACACAAACAATACATCTCAACCAATTATAATGAACTTCTCTGTAACACCGTACATTCTTCACAACCCAATAGTTCAAATTCAAAGCTATTCACAATCTCCAAACAACAACACCTACAAAACCAAAAACCCATTTGCAAAATCAACAAATCAACTCAAAAACACTTAACATACAATGAATAAACATTCAATCTCTGAAAAATTATAATCAATTCCCAGTAACAGTTGACACATAAAGCACAAATTTTCATCACACAAAAAGCTGAGAAATAGACCTATAAAGCTCTTCAAAGCTAAGTCCATTAGCGTTGTTATTGTAAATCTCGTGAATCACATGCTCCAAAATCTTCCACGTCTTCTCTGCGTACTTCGGATCCACCACGACCCGGTGCTTGAACGCCTATATTTGAAACGTCCTCTTCTTTGGACCACTCATCTTGTTGAAAGCTTAAACTCTCAACAAACCCGATTACTCGGGTCGTCTTCGCTTCATACTTTTGACCCGATTCTAAGACGTTGAGGAGCAAAATTCAATCCGAATTGCCCGGAGAACAAACACGAGGGAGCTCCGCAACCAATGAAGCTCCTTCAATACTTTCCTTTAGTCATAGTCTTTTTTCATTTTCATTTATTTTTAAAATTTTATCAATAAATTTTCATACTAAGCTTTATAAAATAATAAGAAAGAAATAAATAAAAATATTTATCTTATTGTTATTATTATTGTTGTTGTTGTTGTTGTTATATATATAATTTAATGGAATTGTTATTATTATTATTATTATAAACTTTCTGTTGAGTGAAGCTTTAAACGATGACGTTTTGCTTTTGTCTATACGCTATTGTTTTGGAGTTCACTTCAGTGAGTAATCTCAGCCGTTGATTCCGACATGATCCAATGGCCTTCAATAGTCTAGCAAGTCAAACTATATAAGACTGAGTATTGAGAGATATGCACAGTAAAACAAATCTTTCTCTCTTGTGTTATTCGACTCTGTTAAGGTTCTTCAGTTTTTTAGGCTATCTTCAAATCTTATAATCGGGTCTCCATTGGTGTAAATTGTGGGTAGAAGAATAGGGCTTTTCTTCGGGTAGAGATACTGTGTATAGCTAGTCTCTTCGGGTTGTGACTACAAGTTGATTTGAGGGTATATTGTGTAAGTGAGAGATTTGGGTATTTTTTGTTGATTGACTTGTACGATCATGATCCTTATAGTGTAGTGAGCCCCAAATTACTTGGAGCTCAACTTGGATGTAGTTTATTCCATTGGAATAAGCGAACCACGGTAAAATCTTTGTATTCTTGTTTTCTTCTCTATTTGATTCGTGTGTTGGAAGTGTTTGTGTAATAACTGCTTCATACTAGGATACTTACAGAAATACATCAAGTACATATATTTATATTAGCAAAAGTAAATGGGCCCAAAATTTTCTTTTAATACATTTAATCATTCTTTATACAAAGTAAGGCATCATTAGTAAAAGTTAACAAAAAAAATAGAAAGTGTAAATATTACTCCTCGCTTGA